CGGCTGCAGTCGTCGCCAAAGATGTTCCCGCCCCAAAGGTGCGTGTTTTTGCTATCCAGCCGCTATTTGTCCATGTTGACCTCGCTTGCAGCTTGTTTGCGACTTGTCGCCCCGTAAAGCTCGTGGCGCCCGGCGATTGGGCCGGAGAGCAGCCGGGCGGATGGAGCCGCTCGCGTTGGGTCGATCGGCCACTTCAAGCGGCCGTTTGGCGGGCAATGGCGGTGGGACTTGCCGTTTGACACGCTGTTGCCGTTATTGAAGAGGAGGGCGAGTTGGGAGTTGGCGCGGGCGAGCGGCCCGGGGACCATTAAACGGCTGTATTTGACGGTGGACTTGCCGGTAGGAGGCGCCAGACTTGCGAGATAGACCGAGAGGAGTGCCGAGTTAGCCGGAGTAGTGCTAAGTTAGATAGATGCTGAGTGCGGCTCTTGTGCCCGCCGTTCGCGGCAGCGCGGCGACTCCGCCTTGAGTTTGCGAGCGCGAGAGATGGCCGTTTCGAGCCTGGGCTTGATACGGCGGGCGGGAGATGGCTGTTGAGTAAAAGGCCGCTGTCAACGGGCACGTGCTCGCAGGATAGGCAGTCAGTTTTGCTAGCAAAACCTGGGCTACTGGTCAAGGGTGTTACTCACAAAACTGGGCAAGCCCAAACGGGATGCTGTGACAGGAAAATGTGACATTCAATCAATTGTGAATATCTCAATGAGTTTGATAGCTATGACTAAGCTATTACCAGATATGGAAAGGCAAATCACCATTTCTTCAGGCCGAAGACCCGGATAAACATCTAGGTAGGCTTGTGATGCAGGGCAAAGGTATACATCCTAATTGGGTTGAAATTGATGTATCTTGACAGAGCCATCAAAAGCACTGATGTCAATCAAAAATCGTTCCACATCAATTACTTTATCTAGATGCCATCAATTCCATCATCAATATCATGATCTAACACCTAAATATGAATAAAATAAGTTTTCAAAAAGTGTGACATTTGTGACCCTTGGGCAGTCCCCCAGGTTTTGTGAGTAACACTCTTGACCAGTAGCCCAGATTTTGCTAGCAATTCTGAGTGAATGAGCTGGTGCTCGCTTGAGGCTGTACCTTCTTCTCCTCCAACTGCCAACACCGCTCGCGTTGACGTGTTTTCCCGAGCTGGCCCGGACCCAGTGAGGAAGAAGAACTCGGGCCAAACTTGCTGTGTGACCTGCTGACCGCCGCAACCTCCTTTCCGGCCGTCGGCGCGTCTGCTGCCTCACGTTGACGCGTTTCGCCGAGCTGCAATGCGCAAAGAAAACTCGGGCCGAACTTGGCAGCGGTACTGCCACGACCTGCTTTCTGGCACGCTGTGTGACTTGCCGACTGCCGCTCGAGCTCGATGCGGTAGGCAGGAGATGGCGGGTTTGGGGATTTGTAGTCGTCGCGGAGGTAGACTTTATTTGCCCAAGTACGTGTTCCTGCGCTTGGGAATTGTGTCTTGCTGACCCATGTCCAGGTTTTGCGAGTGTCGTCGTTTCGACCCAGGTTTCGGTCGCTGGGGACGGCGCGCTTGTGTTCGCTTTCATTGGTGGTCCCGTTTGCATGGGTGATATGATTCCAGACGTTGGTCCCCCACCACTGCCACTTGCGTTGGCGGCGGACAAGCCCGCTTTCGCTCGGGCAGTCATTTTGGAGCTAGAGCGGAGTCGCGCACAAGGGTGTTCTATTGGTCAAGGTAAGCATTCTTTGCGGCTGGAGACGATTTTGCAAGATTTACCTTGTTATTCAGTGATTTTTCGCATGAAGGGCGGGACGAAACGCAGGCACCGTAGAGCGGCATGGCGACTTGGGACAGACAGTAGCAAGACAGCTTGCTTAACGGGCGTCCACAGCGCCAGCCTGAAGATCACATACTAAGAAAAAAATGCTGTCATTGCGCGTCCTCGACACAGTGCAGGAGGATTGAAGGCTTGGCCTGCGGAGAGCGGTGTTGGGTGCGCGCAGCACATATTGAGCCTGCGGCCCTGCCAGCGGTTTCCATGTTGGCACGCGTGACGGCGGGACAGATGACTGCCGCTCCCGGGCCATCCATCAGCCCACACCCGCCAGTGTCAACTACGGGTTATTCTTCCGGCTGAGCAAACACCCCTGCAGCTGCGCGATCATCGGCTCGGGCGGGACCGCCGCAGCAAACTGGGTGCCCAACAAAAGCGTTAATTGTCCACGTCGTCAGAGACGGACTGACTCCTCGCTGGACACGGGGTCTGCGGCAGTGCGAGGTGCAGGGCGGCAGGCGGGGCAAGGAGTTGTACGAGCTGAGTGTGGGTTGGGACAGGCTCGGGCTGGGGTTGACTACATAGGAGCCAATAGACGCGGTGTTGGCTTGTGGGAACCAATATGTCACAGTGTTACACTGTTTTGAAACACTGATTACTTAATCAGTAGTAGCGGTCCCCCACTCTTTCTTGACAGTGTCCCATTGTAGTCCGTTCGGTAACAACCGCTGCCAGCAGCTGCAAGATAAAAAACGTAGGTTGCGAGATAAGTGATGGGCTTGGCAAACCAGCTCAGCTCGGCGCTAAGGGCAGGAGATACCAATAATACAGTGTCGTTGGACGGTATGTGGGAGCAAAAACCAGTACAAGCATGGTCAATATCTTTCTTGAGATTTCAGCTCCCTTCCGCCAGCACTCAGCTACTGCCCTCCTTTCTGCTTATACTTTTACCCACCCCGAGAAATCATCCTCCTCGTATCGTGCTCGCAAAAATCCGAAGACAAGGCTTCCTTGTTATCGCCATGAACACTGAAGCAGTGTGTCCTTTGCTCTTAATCGCTCTGTTGTCGTGATGCAGCAAACTCCCCAGATTTCATGCTTTTCTCTCGTCTCTGGGCGTTTTCATTCGCCGCAGCCGTAGTGTACGGCCGAAAATCGATCGTTCTTGATCGTCGAAACTCTATTCCGATTGATTTCGTCCACTCGGATGTCACTCCGGCAGAGCAAAGGCTCAATCTTCGTATCAACCTTCCTTCCTTTCCAATCCATCTACGAGAGAGCGCGCTGAGCACCTCGTGGTACTTCAGCCCGCTCTCGCTTTCGATGCGCTGGATGTAAGACGTTTGGGGTGCATTGATTCTGTCGTATGAACGCAGGTGGTAAAAGCGGATGTATTTGGCACTGTTGCAAAGGTCAATGTGACGCAAGTCCAAAACTAGAGAACTTACGGGTCGTAACCTGCTTTCCGAACCTCTTCGTATATACTGTGTCCGGTTGATAGTTCGGTCACGGTATTGGACGGCCATGATAGTCTTGAGCCCGCCTTCGGTCTTGATATTCCCCGTGAAGCCTGGCACTTCGGGAATGACTCGGACAACGATAATCTGGAACTTGTGGTCTTATTGGGCGACGCGAACTATGCGCTCAACCAAGGCTGCCGCGACTTGGTTCTTCACGACATCCTTATCGTGTGTGACAGAAATACTACGTGAGAGTTAGAATGACAATGAACGGAATCAGGCGTGCCGAGCATACAAGAACTGGTTTTCTGTGTTCATCTTGGTCAACTTTCAAGCTTCGCAACTAAAGAAACACTCACCAATGTAGATGTAATGTTCTGCTTCGCGAATGAGCTGGCAGTCTGTAGCAAGATGTTTGAGGAAGGAGAAAACAAAAGAAAATGGCACGCACAGGCATTCTGGATACTGTGCTCTGTCAAGACTCCGTGGCTCCAGTCAAACTTGCACCCTCATTCCAGGAATCATTCTTCTTGGCATAGTGAGCTAGTGAGACCGGTCAGCGAAACGAGAGAGCAAAAAAATAGTGAAATTGTACCCGCATCCTGGCTCGTCCGGAAGACCCAGCCAGCGTTGCTTATAACGGTGACCAACCGAGTGCCATGCTTCCCAATGAGGATGTCGCACGACCGCTTCGTTGTGCGCAAATTCGACATTGTGGGGGAGACTTTCCTTCAAAAAATATCGTAAGCGACCAAAGGCTATGGAAGGACCCAAGAAGGACCGAAACGAACTCCTTCTCGCGGTATTTGCGCTTCATGTCCCCGGCAAGGTGGCCGCTTGAAGCGGCCTGCTTCTTCTCACATGATGTCCTCTTTGCCTTTTACCGCCCGCAGCTCTCAGATGGAGTCCGCGAGAAAGACAGCTGGGTGTGCGGTGCGCGATAGTCATTCAGTCCAGTCCATACAATATCCGCTTCTATCTACACCTCCCCCCGCAAGTCCCGTCAACTTGAACGCAGCGAGACACTCCCCCGCCCGGACCCGCACCTCCCGCGCACTCTCCAGCAACGGCCGTATATTCTCTGGCGTCATCGTCATCGCCAGACCTGGCAGCGCATCATCGCCAGCCACGCCCTCCTCGACAAATGACAGCCGCGTCCGGAACCCAGCACGCTCGCCCCGCGGAAGGAGAAGCGACGTCGTCAACCTGTTGGCAGTTGCGGGAGTACGGGTTACCCGCCGTACGGGTTACCCGCCGAGCAGATGGCGACCGGGACCGCGAACTAGACTGCGCTCGCCCGAAGCGGAAGATGGCGGTCAATGAAGGCCGGCGGGTGATGTCGCCTTGAGAGAGCTCGGCGCCAAAGTCCTCCAACTTGTTCTGCACCCTCCGCAGTCCCCTGAGCATCGCCCGAATCCTACTCATTCGCAGCCTCCCGCCCTTATTCTCCTCTGGCTCCGACCCACTCTCTGACATCTCAAGCGACGCAAAGGTCACCCTGCTGCCCATCGCCTCCCTCTTCCAAACACCCGCCTGCACCGACTGCTTCGGCTCCCCGTCCCGCATCATCTCCCTCAACAGAACCAACTGCCCCTGGCTTAAGTCACTCCTGCCGACCGATTTCGTGTTATCCTCCTCCTCAGTCATCAGCACCACTTCCGCCCAGCTCCACGAGCAGCGCCGCACACTCCCACACAACGCGGTACTGCTCGCAAATGCCTTCTAACGCTCGTCGTTGCTGGACCACTGCAGGAATCGGGGGCCGGGTGCTGGCGGAGGACCTCGATCGAGATCATCGCCGGGGTAGAAGGGGGAAGCTGGAGAGCCGACTATACCGATGAGATCGGTTGTCAGCTTCTGGTTCGTCTGACACGGTCGTAAGACTGTCCGTGAGGCTATCGATAAGCGTGGTATATGTCATCTGCAAGACTTGTAATTCTATCACAACGAATCAGCCTCTCGAAGCAAGAAACGACGATCATACACACCTTCGACAACATTCGCAAACTCCCGGACCATCCCCAAATCGCGCTTCAGCCCCTCCTGCACTTGAGTGATCCGCACCGGTATCTTCAGCCCAATCGGGAGAGAGCTTCGTCTGGATCCGGTCGGGCTTGGGCCACCGCCAATGAGCGCAGAAGACCGCCCGAGCGACTTGGTTTGCATCGCCATGACCAGTATCAGTGTCGAAGTAAGGTGCGCAGCTGCAGGGGTATTTGCTGGGCTGGAAGAATGACCCGCAGTCGGCACTGGCGGGCGTGGGCGGATGGATGGAGCGGCAGCAGCGTGAGAAGCAGGAAATTGAAGAGATAAAGAAGCGCAGGAGGCGGGAGGCCGCGGCGAGACAGGCAGCAGAGGAGAGGAAGAGATGTGGGCGGCAAGGGAAAGTGAATTGGCTGTGGATAAAAATGATGAGGAGAGTAGACAGACTTCACCGGGGCTGGGTGGCCTGTCCGCCGGGGCCGGGCCAGGGTCGCCGCAGCACTCCTTGAAATCGGTACAGGTTGAATTCAAACGCTGTCCTTCACTATCAAAGGCGACAGGGACAGAAGAGCCAAGATTTGCGTTTATTGAGGCGCTATTGACGATGAGCAGCTGAGTTTGGAGGTGCGGAAGCAGAGAAGAACGTGGGACAGCAACCGGGGGCGTCGGCGCCGGGACCGGGCACGTGCTGCGGATCACTGCCAACGCCTCTTTGCTTCCTCCCGCCCACATCCCCAAGCAGAACCGCCGCACGCACTACTCTAGCTGTTGGACGGGATCTGGGCACATGCTGTGCTTCTCCGACTTTGCTTAACGCCCAGGCAGCGCGCCTCGGCCAGGGCTGGGCACAGCTGACACACTGTCTTCCCTGGCCCTTGTCCCGCTCTGCCACGTCTCCCCACTGCAACCAAGACCGGCCGCGACATCTACGCTGCCGTGCCCGGCAAGGTAGCCACCAGTCCAGGACATATCAAATCGACCCGACTTGAAACGGCGGCTAGTAACGCCGTTAACGATGAGGACAGAAGGACCAATTTGATAACTTGAACGCGGAACGGGCCAACGGGCCAACGACACCGCCTCCAACTCTGCGAACGGCGGCCAGCCCAGACATGCACACTAAGGGAGATGGACATGCAACACATCATGCTGCTGTGGTGCCCACTGGCACGCTAGCCCGCAAATATCGACTATTATTGAGAATGTCTTTAGCCACGAGAGCAGGAGCTGAAGAATCAGCGGAGGGTTCTGGGGGCACAAATAGCTTACAAGGTGGACCAACTGGCTTTTTTAAACGTGTTTTGTCGTTCGCTATCCATGGGTGGCCAAACAGGCCTCAAAGCCAACTCTAGAGTACCGAGAGGGACACATCCAAGTTGGTGAGGCACAAGTGCAGAGGCAGAGGTGGAAACTCGAATGTCAAAGTGTGTATTTTAAGCTCTGCCAAATCTCTGCTAACCCATATCCTTTCAGCCTCCATTTGTAACAGTCCTGTAATTGTCACCCGCGTTCACGGGCCCTCCATACTATTCCAATATCCGACTTCGACAACGAGAGTGACAACACCATTCATTCGCGCAAAGCTGCAAGTAGAGATGCCAACTCGTGTGGATGGCTTTTGAGGTCATTGGGACGGCGTGCGTTTTCAAGTGCTTTCAATTCCCTCATCTTGACTGGTGAAACAGTATATGCCGATCCGGACTCTGTTCTGTTACCAGAATCCTCAGCCGGACAGTATGCCAGTTGGTATGTGTGCCAATGCTTCCACATGACGCTGTACATTACTCACCGGCTCAGCAGCTCCTTGCAACGCGCTTAAAATCCGAGTCTTCGCTCGCGGCACTAGGAGGAAGGGAGTTTACTGGACTGGATGAGCTCGGTATTCAGATGGAGGTATGTAATCTTGACATTCGCTACCATTCTATCCGATGCTCATTCATTGTCGTTTCTGATAGCTAGATGGCCTTCACATCTGTCTCAACTACCACGCACGCAAAGGTAAACTACTGGACAATCCAATCTGCTCGTCGCCCTCAAACCCACCACCTCTTCTTGCGCACTGCGACTTGTCTCCACTTACCACTGTGCATTCCCGTTCGGGATTGTGTTTGTCTTCTCCCTTTCTTGTGTCACGCAAGCACTCGCCGTTCAAGAAAGTATCCTTGTCCTGTAGCAGGCTGGCTTTCAAAGCCGCCGAACACAACCCTGGTGCTGTTGTGCCTCAATTTCGTAGGGACTCAGAAGGTACCCGAGCACGTCTTGCTTTAAGCTGAACGAGGGAATGGTTAAAGCATTGACTGACACAGCTATAGAACGAGAGACCACCCCTATGTCTAACTGGTCAGGCAGGTGCAAAATAATGTTGACGCTCAGGGCATGCATGTCATGTCGCTTTGCTTCTACCCCCTGCTGCTGAGTGGGAGAAGAGAGCTAAAGGATACATGTGAAAAGCCTTGTGTATAATGTATGATACTTAAGTCCAACAAATGGAGGATCGGAGTAGACTGTGGTCCGACTGATTGCCTTGATTGCCAATGTATATGCCAGAAAAAATGGCACTGGCCGGATCACAGATCCGAGCACTACATTTTCTGAAAATTTTCTGTGGCAGAAGATTTCTAATCATCTGACCCGGAAAATTTCCAGAAGATTCTCAGAAGATTGATGGAAAATTCTAAATTTTCCGTGACAGAAAAATCCTTGGAAAATCTTCAGAAGATCTTCAGAAAATTTCAAATTTTCTGCGCATTTTCTGGGGCAGAAAATACATTAATGTCCGTAGTGTGAAGAACAAGTCGAGTGGGAGGAAAGGTGGCGACGGTCGAAAGCGCACCAGCACTGGACATGTACAGCAAGTATGATGAAATGCACGGAGTTGTCAGCCAACCCCCGGTTGAGGGGCGGATTCCCAGCAGTCCCGGCTGATTTCAAGTATGAATTTGGCAAGGCCTTTTTCTCTCTCTCTTTCTGTCACACCCACGTGGAAGTGACTCGGCGCGTCGAAAATAACTTTTTCGCTTTGCGCCACGAGCCAGCCGCATGCAACCATCTGAACACTCCTTCCTATACTCTTGATTTCCTCAAAATTTTCCTCTTCCATTCCCGTTTCTAAGAATCCTCCTCCGTTGCCGGCGCTGTGTCGATCAATGAGTTCTTTTTGGAGCGGTGGCATACCAAGCCTGACGAAATTTCTCGCTCTTGCTTCACTAGATTGCCCTGATTTGAGGAAAAGTTCAGTCAGGCGAGGCTTGGACCATAATTGCGATGTTCGAACCTCCTCAAGGGTGCGGATCCACTTCAGAAGCTCGGGCTATCCTTGCTTTCCCTGGATCTCTTGTACGAGGATGGGACTCGAGCCAGTTGATTTTGGCAGCGGCAATATCCACCATTCCTGGATAGATTGCAGAATCTTCTTCAAGTAGCAGTTTCCCTTCATCGAGGAGCGATTCTAGATGTCGCAGGCGGGGAAGATCAGAGCGCCGAAAAGCCGAAAGGTCGAGAGGGTCGTAGTTCTCGCTGTCAGGATCGTCGAAACCGAGCTCTGCAGTGCCAGTGTCATCATTCGCCTGTCCATCGTTGACGGCTCCTTCAACCTTGCTTCGCTTAATGGGCCTGGACTTTGTTAGTGTGGGGCCTTGCTCGTCTTCATTGTCGTTGTCCTCCATATCCTTCCTTTTCTTGTTGTTCTTGTTGTTGTTGCCCTGTTCTTCTTCCGCGCTGCCCCCACCGCCAACGAACGTGAAATTTCTCCCTCCATAGGTTGCGAAAGCAGTTTCCATAATCCGGAACACAGTCCAATTGAATCGTGCCCAAAGAAAATGCCCGGAAACTCTGGACGGTAAGGCAAGGCTGCGAAAATGATGGTCTCGGGCAGTGGCGGGAGATTTGGAGTCCATAAAGAGCGCTACCCATTCACCTCCCCACGGATAGATGGAAAATTGTCCTGTATCGAAGATCCGCTCATTTATGTCATGCCGGAGAGTGATAAGGTTGTCGCCCGTATTGACGGCCTGTCGGTGGCCCGTGTAGGCCAAATCATGGATCGCGAGCTACTCACCTTGTCAATAGAGAACAGAAAAATGGCCAACTCCGAGTCCGTACCCATTCTTGACAATCTTCGGGCACGAGGTGCGAGGCGTCCAACGCTACCATCTCGTCGTCCCCCGTCAATAGACATTTCCCGTCCATATATTTCACCGCGACATCAATCATCGTAAGATCTAGACCGGCGTTTACAGGTGTTGCTACGCGTTGCCATTCTGCCGGCGGGGGAGAGGGAGACCAATGGCTGAAAGAGCGACATAGGGGCCAGCTTGGGCATTCAGAGATAAAATCACAATCGTTCCACTAATTAGCTCACCAAAGCGTTGGCGGCTGTCCTTTAATGAGGAAAACATAACGCCCAGGCCGTATCCAAGCATCGGACACAGGCTCGCGCTCATAGTCGTGGCCCCGAAACAAGAACAAGTCACCATCCGCATTGTTAGCGATGGCGCGCGCAGCAGAAAGAAGGGCATCAGTCGGGTACAAGTAGACAAGAGATTCCGCTGTCGGATCGAGAGGGAAGACCGCCTGAGAATAGAAGAAACGTGGCGGTGTGTAACCATTATGGAGGAGGTGCACATCCTCGCAAGGAGCCCGGGCTCTATTAGAGCTAATCTCTGCTCGAGGGTGGAAGGAATCGACATTCACAAACTGATTTAAGTTTGTGCTCATACACACCGAATCTTGCACTGATTGTCACGACCTCCGCATCAACCCATGCCGTGTCACAATTTCCCATGTCAACGGGTGTATTCGGACCGACCCTCTTGATGTTAAAAAAATTACTTTCTGTATGTAGGTAAATATGTTGCAGATTTGGAGATAAAATATCTTATCCATGACAAAAATTTGAGGTTTTATTTAGACTGGATTGACCACCAAGTATTTAGGCAAATATTCAAAACAGGTATTTATGAGTCTAATCAGTTTGTGCTACGCCGCTGGTCGGCCTACCTTGAATCATTGAGGGGTAGACTTGTGACCACCTGTGACAAGTGAGTCATAAATGTCACTGGCCACGTGAACATGACCGGACGCGTCTAACCTCTATTTTCTCTTAAGCCAGCTGGGTATCTACACCACGAAACATCTTCGCCACGTGTCCCCCAACATGCTGAACCCCGAGTCCGAACCCAACCAATACACCCACATCCACAACAATCAGCTGCACAACCGCCAGCATAAACCGTGGCGCGAAAACCTTCCAGACCATTAGGTGCCTCCGAAGAATCGCGGCACTGACCGCAGCGCCAAAGAGCAGTGACGCGTAATAGAGCATTATGCCTAGGCCCGCGATAACGCTCTCGCCGTGGATCTGTGTGTCTGGCCGTGTTTTATTCTTTTTCTGGTCGGAGGGTAAGGGAGAGCGGTTCCAGAGGGAAAGAAGTGGGACCGCAAGCGCGGCAAGGAGAATTGCGCCAACCGAGTTGAGAATGACTGTCGTTGCGGAAAGCGAAAAGTGCATTGTGGGGGTGAGGAGGAAGGCCGTTTTCCATTGGATGGAGGAGATCACGGCTTGATGGCCCGTTCCGTAAAATGCGTGTAGCCCAAGGAGAGCAACCGGGACGATGTCCGCAAATGTTATGGGCGGAGAGCGCGTCGGTCGGCGGTTGGGCTCGAGAAGAGCAGATGGGTTTGAGGCAGCAAGAGTATCGAATAGCCGGACATCACGTGTGCTGTCGATGACTTCAAGGTGTGCCATAAGAGCGACAACCATCAGTCCAAGCACGAGTTGGCCAGTGAGCTGTGTGGTAAGATATATAACCGCAAGGAACCCGCTCCAGAACAACAGATACGACGAGCCGAAGGCATTCGCGTAGCCAATGACTGTGACTTGTCGCTTTTCGTTAGTAGAGTTAGGTGTTGCTTCGATAATGTCCAAGCACAGCGGGACGGTCCACCACAGGAGCCCTCCACCAAAGACAAGCAGCACAATTGATCGAGCAACCCATGTTCTGGCAATACGCAAGAGCGCGGCTAATTCTGCGTCTACGACCCCCGCCGAGTCTGCCCATTCCACGAACCAATACCCAGCTCCAGCAGTAAGAGCTGGCAAGAGGATCGCGGGTAAAAAGATTTTGGCAAGGCCTAAATGTGAGCGCGATACTCGAAGGAACCTCCGGAGAGTCCACGGAATGGCAAATGCTGTCGGGAGGGCCATATACAGTACCAAAGTTGGGGGAGCAGGAAGCGACGAAGAAGCGTAGAATGTCACGTGACAATATGGCTGCTGTTCCTCACGGCACACTGTGCTGATGGACATTAACCGGACACAGACGGCAAAGAGAAGCGAGAAGCCAAGGATGCGATAGCGGAGTCGGGGAGTCGGAGCAGAGACACCTTTCCTGATAAACGGTGCCAAGGAGGAGACGAGTAAGAACGGAACCATTCTGTCTTCCCAGAAGGTAAACGAGTTGGAGGTGAATGCGACGGAATGCAATATGAGCAGAATAACCGGCAGGGAAAAGGAGCTGAAACTAGGCGGAGATGAAGCAATCAAGACGACACACGCCATCAGCATAGCGCCGAAAACGCAAACATCGAGTGCATCCATTCCAGTTAAGGATGTTTCGAGCACATAGTAGAGCCCTAAGCCCATGATGGACCCAATTGCCGCGCCTCGGACGTAGTTCATAAGCTGGCTCTCTAACCACTCGTCCCAGCGATCTCCCACTTTCGAAAATCCCGAATAAGCCGCCCATGTTGCAACGATGCCCACACCCAACAGTACCAAGCCGAGTCCCATCAAGACGGGGTTGAACTGGGCCCATATCGCTCTGCAAGCAGCAACTGCTACTCGTGTGTAGTTGACCAGGGTAATCAGATGTTGCTCGTTGGTTAATGTGGTTGATTGCGTTGCGGTCCAGGCATTCAAGAGGTTTGGCCACGCGTCATCGAGTTCAGAGCCAGAGGCACTGGCTCGGTAGGCGTCAAGATAATCCTTGATTTGCTGAACGTTGATAGCAAGGGCGTTCTCAAGCGTTTGATCGCGCCAGAAGAGCTCTGGAATTATACTTCCGAGGTTATTGAACGGTATTGGAAGGCCGAGAAGGAGGGAAAGGGACGGAACGATGTCGATTTGTTGAATCCAGCGATGAGAGTTGGGTGCATTCGGAAATGTTTTATATTGCAACAGTCCGGAAGGGATTTTTGACGAGGAAGTCGACAATGGAGCGCCTTTGCTGTACACCCACATAGCGGAAGAGGTCTCCAGGTCACCGTCACCACCATGATCACCTGAACGGTCCATTCCATGGTCTCCGAGAACCACCAGGAGAGTGTCGTGATCCAGCAAGTCAACTACCCGCCGTAGAACAGTGTCCATCTGTTTGAGTTTGTCCTTCATGCTGGAATGGTCTGGCCCAACTCGATGTCCGACATGGTCGACCCCAAGGAAATGGCCAATAAGAAAGTCGAATGGCTTCGAGTTATCTTCTAGCAGGGGGAAGATGTGGCGAATGACGCCTTCGTCAACGGTGTGCAAGTCTTCCACGTTGAATGAATCTTCGGGAAAGGTCATATTCAGCGCGAAAGAGTCCGGATAGACAGACATCCAGGTATCGTCTCCCATGAAAGCAATCTGGCCCGAATCAGACATGCTTGGACACAAACATATACGCACCTTCTTTCCCGCTAGCCTTAACTGCTTCATTATCGAATCCTCCGCAATAGCCGAACCTCCAAAGTTATTCCCAATGTCGACGAACGTGGGCAGCGACCCGGTCGTAAGCGCCTTTATTCTTTGCAGCGTGGCTGTTGGAGCGTCGGAATACGCGTTGAACAAGAACGAATTCTGTGGATGCGCGGCGGTCAGCTCATGCGGGAGCGTAAGGATGTTATGGTGGAATGGGGAACTTGGAACGGGTGGGTTGGGAGAGATGAAATCGAAGCGGAGGGAGTCTATGATGAGTAGGACCGCGCGTTTATGGGTGGGGGGAAGGATACACGACTTGTCGGGACATTGAGTGAAGTTTGGGAGTGAGAGACGTGTAAGTAGGAAACCAGATGTGAATAGGTAAATGCCAGCTAGGTGAACAAGAAATACGAGTGAGAGGAGGGCGAAGCCTTTGGAAAAGGCCATAATATTGTCTATCCACAGAGGTGCATCAAGTTGGGAGATAAATGGGTGTTGTCCACGTGACTTCTTGCCACATTTTCTTGAAATTCTTCACTTCTGACTTCATCCAACTCATCTTCGCGAGTGCATTTAGGCAATCTCATCGCACCACACAGCCGGCGCGTATGACCATGTTTTCCGCTTACTGCTCTACTTCGTCAACGAAGCTCAATGAAGAATGATTGCCAGAACAACGACGACGGAAAATATGCCCGAACTCGAACTGGTATACCGCGGACTCATATCCAGCCAATAATGTGGAGGCCAATATCAAATCCGAGTTTGTAGGTCCAGCACGTTGCTTGAGAAGCTTGTGCCGCGTGGGAGTCGGACTTGGTCTGAGCAGTCACTAACCAACGATGAGCGAAGCTATGGATCTATATACTCATCTTATTCAAGCTGCGACCCTACAACGAATAGGCAATGTGGACATTGTGGCGTTCGACCGCCGAGACAATCACAAACGTTTTCCTAGCGAGGACCGATATTACACAGAAGATTGGAAACTCTTGAACGGGATCTGGAAGTTGGCCATTGTACTCGACGGTGTGTTTGTTGCTCGTGGGAGATGTGAGGGAATAGGATATTCATTTTTTGCTCTGCTCAGGTCATGGTGGGACTGCAACAGTGGATTTTGTTCTTGAACGTTTACCTTCAATGCTGAAACTGGCTCTCGAGTCGGCTCTCCAAAAGGGATCCGCCACCGTCGACGACGCAACTCTGACGAACATGATGTCCAAGACTCTCATCGACATTGAAGAAGAAATTAAGAACGACTTGCTGTCGCTTATTCCCACCGACCCAGACGCACTGGCCAAGTTCGACGCTGCTGCCGCGCTGCAGGATAGTCCCGGAAACTTAAACGTGAAGCTGAAGCGGGTGCTTTCGGGGACGACTGCCATGGTAGCCTTGATCGACCCCGACAAACGTGTCCACATTGCGAGTGTAGGAGATTGCGATGCTTGTAAGCAAGTCGTTCTTTCATGATCAATCCCAGCTGACGATAGCAAGTTCTTTGTTTCCTCGCAGAGGACGGATCGTGGGACAGCCGGCACATGGGCTTCGCCCACCGATGCACAAATTCAGCTGAGAAAGCACGAATCTTGGCTGAACATCCAGGGGAGCCTGATTGCATCAGTAGCTGGGGTGTACCCAGATTACTCGGCTTACACACCCTCAGTCGTGGTGGGTTGACTCCGGCATTCTCATCTACTTTTTTTCTCTAAGCCGGTCAAATTAGCGATTGGCAACACGTATTTTAACCTCCCAGTCAATGTTATTCAAGTCATCGGAGCTGGGCGCGGCGAAGATTTCGAGCAATCCTTTCTCGATCTTGTCAAGACCCCACCATACCTTTCCAACGTCCCTGAGGTCGCTCACGATCATATTGACACCCAAAAGTTTCTCGTCCTAGCCTCGGATGGACTGGAAACTGTGGTGCGCCGAAAGTTGCCATCTGACCCAGTGTCAATCGGCAAATTGTGTGGTGCTGCCGCCACCAAGGGTCAAACCGCTGGCCGCAATCTTGCGGGCGAAATTCTTTTTGAGGCAATGGGTGGCGACAGCGAAGGCAACATAGTCGTGCCGGCGATTGAGGGGAAATTGAAGGGCCGCTTGGATGACGCCACAATTCTGGTCATTTCGTTGTAAAGTGGTTTGGCTTCACGGACAATTTACGTCTCCTTTGCGAGTCGACGAGAAAGTAATCGTCTATCAATATATGTTTCAGGACCTCGTGCGCAAGGTACTCAGTGGGCAACTTGGCCGCTCCTCCAGCGATCTGTCAGTGAATTTGAACTGGAGGTACCGAAAAGTGAGGACGGGGAAGCACTGACTGGAGACCCGAACCATGTGTTGTCGACTCGAAAAAACCCTGATGGGAGGAGTAATGTCTGAAAACAAGGCGTTGCAATGAATGGTGAGATGAAGCATCCAATCTCGGTCTCCTGGTGAAGCACTGTCTATTCCAGGTTTAATTGACGAAAGGAGCTCCAAATCCAATGGAAGTAGGGTTCCAGCGGTATCAGTTTAGAGTTGAGACACGACTACGGGAACGGACGCGGAGTAGCCGAAAGAGTAGTGCCCTGGTCCCTGGAGAGGTTGGGAGCATTGCCGGAGCGATCACATCCACGGCGACGGTAAGCAAGATGCGGGGAAGGCCCGGAGGAAACACACGAATGGGATGATCGAAGCAGCTTACTAAGTAAGTGCAGCCCTGCAGTACGAAAGAAATCGAGGTTGATGGATTTCAACAAGACTGGAACAAGGACCATCTTCTGAGCCCTCGAGCATAGGCGAACGTGCCTTTCAAAATTTCTCGACACTGACAACGCCTCATGTTATTGCCGGGCAAAAGAGCACGAAAGGGGATGGCGAAATGTCGAGAGTGTGAACTGGGACGAGAAGAGCGGGGGACAACTTCCTTGCCAAGCACAAAGCCTGTGTGCATTCGGACTGCGGCGGCGTGGGATATCAGGCCACCTCGCATGTCGAGCCCACAGTCCTAAATGGTCACTTAAGCGTTTCCAAAGGTCAATGGTTGGTGACATCATAGGGTAAGCTATCCCACCATCGACGATTCTCAGTTGACTTGGAGGGCGTGGTTGGTGGACAATGCAAGATCCTTCAAGTTGAAAGAAAGAACTAATAACTGTCAGCGCTTCAGTGTCAATAATTGTCTGGAGCAGCCCTTCATACCACGCTCTAATTTTGCCTCGCCGAAGTGCTTGGAACAATCGGCCACAATTGAAGGTCGCCGCGGCGACGCACATCCCAAGGATGATCCCCAACTGCGCGAGAAAAGTCTGTGCAGTAAGGCAGAATGGCGATTAATAGAAGCAAGACGACATAGAAGTTTGCATGACATAACTCCCAGGGGAGTTGAGCTTCGTCTTCGATCAGTTCACATAGACATAGTCTGTTTTACCGGCGACTTACCGGTCCATCCAACACAAGATGTCGCCATCTCAGGCCAACGGGAGCAATACAGGGGACTGCAGAGAATAAGAAAACCTATAAAATGGGCCAGGATAGTATCTTCAGACTTCACTGGCAAACGCTCAGTTCCAACGCAACACTCGACTCAAACATGCGATTCCTTCCTACCTTGCTCCTTTTCTTCGCCACTGTCGTCTTTGCGCGCCACGGTGGAGATGATAATGGCAATGGCCGTCACGGAAACGACGACCGCACTCGTACAGTGACCGTTACCCAAACGGTTGCAGCGCGCAGCGCCAAGTTCACCAACGTTGCGGTAAGAGACGCCGCTATGAACTAGTATCGAGACTGAGTGATAATGTTAGCTTGTCGAGCGCAAACACGGAGGGGACGACGGACCCAACGACAACGGCCACCACACAAAACGCCGCCACGGAGGGGACGATGGCCCCAACGACAATGGACATCACGGAAATGATGACAATGGCCGGCATGGAAAGCGCCGCCACGGTGGAGACGACAATGGACGCCACGGTAATGACGACAATGGCCGCCACGGAAACGACGACAATGGCCGCCACGGAAAGCGCCGTCACGGTGGGGACGACAATGGCCGCCACGGCAATGACGATAACGGCCGCCACGGAAACGACAATGTTCTTACTGCTGTAAGTCACGGCCAGCCCGCTCGGGGAGATGCAAGCTGAATATGACCATTTAGCGCCGCCATGGAGGTGACGATGGCCCCAACGCGGCGCAGGAAGGCACGCGCACACGACGTCGCGACGTGCGTCGGCCCCACACTCGGCGATCACTGGCGTGACCACTCCCGGCCTTCTATGTAGCAAAATGGCACGATTCCCCCAAAAAAAACGGGTACACGAGAAACACCAAGTATCTACGGCCAATACCGCTCGCGTCTCTGGAGCCTGCCGACTATGGCAACCTGGTCAGCAACCTGGGCGACAACGACAAGCCGGCTTACGCGAGCCACACAGGGCAGCTCGGACAGCAATTTTCAAGGCTTGTCTGGGGCTGTTGGAAATGATACGTCTAGATAAGTGTCGACCTAGCTCAATCTCAGTCCGCGAAACGCCCAGACTGAGAGAAAAAAACTCACCTGTGGGGACAAGGGTCAGCGTGTTTAACGTACAACGGACAAGTCGGTGGGGCCGTCAGTCGGCGAAACAGCGTGCTTACTGACCAAAGACCTAACTTATTCTCAGTTCGCGAATCGCCCGGACCGAGGAAAAACGCACCTTTGACAGAGTAGGGCAACGGTAGAATGGCGGGATGCATGGATTGCGCGGCCCTGGAACGAGGTCAGCGAGCCAGAACAATTTGCTACAAACTAACCATTCAGACAGTGTCGTCTCGCGCCGGTCGACGTACCCAGCGCAGAGTTTGGGACACGCGAGTGGCAGACTTTTCGGACACGCCAAGGAGCAACTCCTGGTGAAAGCTCAGCCCGCGAAACGAAGACCTCGACGGAAAACTCACCAAACAAAGAGTAACACAACCTGCGGAGCGAGGGTTCAGCGTCGCAAGCATAGTCATAACTTTCATAACAAGGTCCGTGTTGCAAGGCCAACCACGGAACTCACCATTCTGGAAGCGGTAAGTGCTCTATTCGAGGACAGCGCGAACAACTCACCCATTCGACAGCCCGTCGCATCAATCGCTGGGAGGTCAGTCAAGTCTTCAGGTGCGCGTTGGTTGGGTTTGAAAGTTGACATCCTGGGGAAAGAGGTAAGCAACAACGCGTGGCTCGGGACTGACTTATCGAACGAAGGAAAAGGGAAAGTATTTACAACAGACAAGTACACGATGTAACGAGGTACCATGTGCAATCCGAGCAGCTTCTGTTGGCCAGCAGTCAGCGTGGTTAGAAGTCGCCAATCACTCCAAACTGAAGAAGGTGAGGGAGTGTAGTTGAAGAGGAAAGAATGACACTGACTTGGGTGTTGTGGTGTCCCGGAAAATCTCGCGATTGCAGCGCAAAAGATTATTGCTGAAATTCTTTAGTTTGTCACACAATATTAGAGTCATAAAATAAAACTCACTCACAGGCCGTGGGGGAAGGAATGAGACTTCTGATGCGCCTGCGGCGCATCCATCGCACTCGCGCTCCCCAATGACGACAAGAAACGCGACAGCACGAGAAACGTTGTTGCGAGTACGCCACGCTCAAGTCCAGGGCGTTATGCACGCCTCCGGCGGCAAAATCCTGCGAAAAAGTGAGCTTTAAAAGGCGAAAAAATGAAGCAGAAATAAGCTTACGTAATCGTTACATACAAGCAAATTTCGCTGTCGTTTTCGCGCAATTGAGGGGGTTTCTGCCGCGGGAAATGAGCCAGAGGTGGGATACAATCAAGCTGGAGGCGACCATTGCAAGCGGGCTGTACTGACTTCTTGAAGATGTTTCAGCAGCTCGCGTTCTCCACGACGACCACCCAGCTATTGTTGTACTTGTGGCGAAGGGAAGTGTCTGAAAACAAGTCAGCAAACCGGAAGTAAAGGACAACGGAGCAAACTCACGTTTGCTTAATGCACATTGCCTGATGCGCCTGACGGCGCATGCTTCGTGCTCGCCAACAACGATGACCACCAAAGCTAACCCAGACAAACTCGACGCGCCTAACGGCGCTTTCCCTGCGTTCGCAAACGACAGCGGCGCCAGCGAAAGAATAAGAGTTATTGCCATGAGTTCGTTAAGTCCCAGTCCAGTGCGTTATGCACGCCTCCGGCGGCAAAATCCTGCGAAAAAATGAGCTTTGAAAGGTTAAAAAATATCGCCAAAAGTCATTACGTAAGCGCAGCGGTACATGTAAATTTACGCTCGTTTTCACCCATTTGAGCGTGTCTGTCGCGGGAAATTAGCCAGAAGGAGAGAGGAATCAAGGTAGAGACCAGCCTTGTTGGCGGGGCAGAAGGATTTCAAGGCCTGTGGGGGAAGGCGGGTTCGTGTTGGGTGTAGGTGCTGACTTGCTGAAGGAATTGGAGCAAGACTGTGTTACCTTTCAATAACAGTTGATAGTGTGATAAAAGCAACGCACATTATGACTCCCTTCACTTCCTCCAATTAGAGCATGTTCGACACCGGTGAGGATGAGCGAGCTGCAACAAGGTAAGCATGTATGCGTCAACATGTTTTGGCCACGTACCTAGACTGCTGCTTGTTGCTCCACGGCCCCATTCCCACCCATGCCCATCGACAGCGTTGCCAAGTTTGAAGCCGAAGAACGCGCTGCAGAAGAAGTAAGCCAACGAAACAGAGAAAGTACAAATCCGCACCTCTCAGTTCAAAAGACGCGAGGTAAGTGCCGACTGGTAGCAGCGTAAGCAAACAGGTGTGAATGTCGAGCCCAAAGACAGATCGTGTGTCGAAGAGGAAATGGTCGAAAGCAAGTCACGCCGATTCGTGTGACGGCACGCGATAATCTTGCCTTCCTCCTTGTCGGCACTCTCAGTTGCCCACACTCTCCCACTTCAGATCTGCCCCTGGCAAAGTCGGCAAGGACTCAGGCGCCGTCTCTCAAACCACTCGGCCAAAGTCTACGGCTACAACTACATCAATCTCGCCTTCTGCATGCCGACTCAACCCGGAGACGTAGTGGCTTGAAACGGGTAAGCTGTGGGCATATCTCGGCAGACTAACATGCTCAAGACGGACCGGCTTCTCGGCAACGACTGCACTGGAGACGAATGCGAGT